CAAAGCCGCACAGGCGGCATCCCACTGCCTGTGCGGCTTTGCTCGGGGGCAAAGGAGCAAAGCCACACGGGCGGCGGGGTCCCTCCGCCTGTGTGGCTTTACTCGGGTCTCCCTGGTCTGATGGGGAGGAGGGGGTGCAGCTAGTGCGCCCCCCCCAGCAGACCAGGCTTTTGTTGCGGGACGCCTCGGGTAGAGCAGCTGGGGTGCTGCCGGGTTGGTCCTGTGGGAACCTACCGGGCAGCGCCCCAGCTGTTCTGTCCCAGGCTCCAGATTCAGCAGCTGTTGAAACTGATCAGGCTGATTCCAGGAAGCTGGGGGCAGAGCAACTCTGCCTCCTTCTTCCTGTAGTCAGCCCCTGGTCAGTTTCAGTGGCAGCATCTGAATCGGGAGCCAGTTCCGACTTACATACAAATTCAACTTAAGAACAAACCTATAGTCCCTATTTTATACGTAACCCGGGGACTGCCTGTAATAGCATTTTTGGGTGAAGTAAGGCACAGAGATTACAGTAGTTGTGTTGGCTAATGATCTGGTAATTGATAAACACCAGGTATCCATGTAGATTCTGTTAAAAATACATTCTCATTCACTTTCCTGTAAACCAAGACAATCAGAGGTAGACAGCAACGCTTTTGTGTGCTATGCTTTCCTCTTATAGACAGTCTAAAGACCAGTTTCAGCCATGAATAATGGTGAGGTGGGGAGGAGAGTGTCTCGTTTTAGAGAAACCATCAACCCACATGCATGGCATTGTAGCAGGTGTGGGGATTTACCTTCATTTGCCAAGATTTGTTTTTCCTTTTATTTTTCTCCTGTACTAGCTGTATTTCAGTTGTCTCAATCACTACTTCCATTCCTGTGACAGGAAAATGAGGAGAGGAGGGTATGGGACTCATGAAGAGGTTCTGGGGTCTTTTAAGTGTGGAAGTGAATGACCTCTGAGGGTTTCTTGATGAAGGATGTGATTTGTTATTGAAATGGAGATGCCTATATGATGATGTGGGGTTTATTGGTGTTTCCATCCCTGTGGCAGAAGGATGAGAATTGGCTTAATGTCATTAAGTGTGTGGTACCTGGGGATAGTCCAGGGGTGGGCAAGATACCTCTTGAGGTCTGGATCCGGCCCGCCAAGCCACTGGTTCCAGCCCACAGACACTCTGTCAGGTCCCTCAGACATGCAGCAGCCACTCATTTAAGCACAGGACTGCTCTATGCGCCTCTCTGCTCTAAAGAGATGGGGAGGCTTCATGTGATCTCTCCGCTTCCAGCCCAATCCTCAGCTCAATTGGCCGGAAACAAACCGGCCTATAGAAACTGACCCCAGCCAAACTCTCAGCTCTTATTGGCTGGAAACAAACAGCATGAGCCTTTTCCCCCTCCTGGAGCTGAGAACCACATGGAGGGAGTAGCTTGAAGTTTTAAGCGATCTGGGGCTGCACCAGGCAGGGAGCCCAGTCTGCTTTGGGGGTGCTGAGGGCTGCTGGCCAGGAGACGCTTAGGTAACTGACCCCCATCCAGAGCCTGCCTCTGGCACCCCTGTCCCTCCCGAACCCCAGGACCCTTCCTCAGGTTGCCATCCAAACTCTTTGCACCTGCCTGCCCCATGTCACAACTTTCTCCCAGACCCTATACCCCCTCCTACATCACTTCTCCAGGCCAGAATCTTCTCCTGCTCCCAGACTCCCTCCTGGACCCTGCATTCAAATCCCGTGCCCCAGGTCACAACCCCCTCTTTACCCAAACTCCCTCTCAGACCTCACACTGTCTCCTGCACTCTAGTCCCTTACCCTGTGTGCCCTCTGTACCATCCTAGACCCTGAACCTTCTCCACAGAAAAGTGCAGCCCTTGACCACCTTCCAAAATCTTGGAGCGGACCCCCACCAAAAATTATTGTCCACCCCTGGGATAGTCTGGATTAAGAAATTGCCTGTTGGTTTTGGAGGAGTTTTTTTTCCTTTTCCTTACTTGTTTTGGCCCAGTGCGTCTGTTTGATGTGTGTATATGAGGTCATCCAGAGAGTTTTTGAGAGTGTGTGTAGTTCCTAATGCTTTTAACATGCTAATGAGACTCTTCTCTCTCTTTTCTCTCAATTTTTTCCTCTCTTGCTAGTACGGTTGATTGTCTGGCCTAGTGTTTTAGGGAGATAGGGCATAGATGAGAGCTAGTGGTCAGAAATTTAATCCAGATAAAACTGATGCTGAGTGAAATAGCCAGAATGTATGATAAAAAAGTTCTCTGTCCTTGACTGAAGATGTGTGCAATCTGGTTATAGTGTTGTAGCGTTGGATCTTCAGCTACTGTTTGATGATCATATAGCAGCAGTGTCCAAAAATATTTTTTATTATCTGTATGTTGCCATAAGATTGCATCTCTTTTTAGGATGTCAGCCTTGCTACTAGGGATGGTAAATTGGTTACCTGGATTCCCTGGGTGTGTCACGGGTAGGAGTGCTGCAGCTCAGTGTGCTATGGGCAGGGGTGCTACAGCCTGGCTGGAGCAGCTCCCAATCATGGCAGGCACAGCCCCAGCATGGCAGAGGCGAGGCGGGACACTCCAATCTAGCCATGGCAGCTCTCCTGCCTGCCCCTTTGAATCAGTTATCTGGTTAAATTTAAGGTTTAATCGGTTAAATGATTAAACAGGATTTACACCCCTAATCAGAACTCTGTGTCCTCATGTCTGATATTCTTCTAAAAATGATAGTTATACATACTTTCAATGAATTTTGTAGTAATTTATCAGTTTTCTTTTTCTTTTTTAGTTGTAATAGTTAATTCATCTTTTTTAGATAGATTTCTGGTTTTCACTGCTCCTCCTGCCCTTACACCTATGTGTGGGTACTAGGTTCTGCCCGAATTCTGTGTTTCCTGCATGTAATCTTTCTTGGTTATTAATGACATGGGCAGTGGATGACGCCATGACTTGGGGAGACAAGCCCTCTATCCCCGTCCACCAGAGCTCATGTTTCCCCCATACTGTGGCCTGCTGACCCCTTCCCAGTCTTCCCTCTCCTACCCCAGCAATGTGGCTGCTGGCACTTGCCCCCTTCCTATCCTAGGCTAGCACCTCCAACCTCTTCCAGCTCTGAAGAGCCAGTAGGCAGTACAGCCCCAACCCCGGAGTTGAGGGAGTCAGCAGGTGGCATGGCCACAGTTTTCCCTGGCCACAGAGCTCCAGGGAGCCAGTGGACAATATGGCTTTTGCCTCATAGAATCATAGGGCTGGAAGAGACCTCAGGAGGTCATTAAATCCAACCCCCTGCCCAAAGCAGGAACAGTCCTACTAAATCATCCCAGCCAGGGCTTTGTCAAGCTGGGACTTAAAAACCTCTAGGGATGGAGATTCTACCACTTCCATAGGTAACCCATTCCAGTACTTCACCACCCTCATAGTGAAATAGTTTTTCTAATATCCAACCTAGATTTCCCCCTTGCAACCTGAGACCATTGCTCCTCGTTCTGCCGTTCATCGCTACTGAGAACAGCCTCTCTCCATCCTCTTTGGGACCTCTCTTTAAGTAGTTAGATGAGATAACATGATCTTGGTAACTAAGTGACCATTCATTATCAGTGGTAACTAGGTCAATGGAGGGATGATAGGAGTTACTATAGAGAACTTTCTGGGTGTCTGGTTGATGAGTCTTGTCCACATGCTCAGGGTTTAGCTGATCGCCATATTTGGGGTCGGGAAGGAATTTTCCTCCAGGGTAAGTTGTCAGAGGCCCTGGAAGTTTTTCGCCTTCCTCTGTAGCATGGGGTACAGATCACAGCTGGAGGATTCTCTGCATCTTGGGGTCTTCAAAGTATTTGAAGGCTTCAATATCTGAGATATAGGTGAGAGGAT